TGAGGGTATTAGGACAAGGTCAGGAGCTAACATCCTAGTTTTTGGTGTGCATTCCAGATGCCAAAGTCGACTCTCTCCAAACCCCACCCCACCCCTGCCCCCTGGCCCCAGCCCCAGGGAACGAGGGGGCTCTGTGCAGAACTGGCCTCTGAGCCTGAAAACCACACGTCACCCAGGCTGCAGTGGAGTGGGACCCTCCCTGGTTTGGGCCTCACTGGTGACAGACTAAGCTTTAATATGGAAAAGGTGACCACTGTGCAGTAGCCGTGGAGGTGTTTATGCCAACCCAGCAGGTCCTCTCCCTAGCATATGTGGCCTTTGCTAGGTTGGTGGGACTCCTTGAGCTACCTCGCAAAAGACCCATGACCCTTGCACCCCACACTACCTACCAATCACTAGAGCTTATCTTGCACACCTGGAACAATGAGAAATGACGGTTACTACCACCGCTGCCACCTTGAGTCCCCGATTTACACCAGCTCCCAGCTAAGCTCTTTCAGTAATCTCACCCTCACTCCATCAAATCTAGTTATCTCCAGCATGTCAGGCTTCAAACCCCCCAAAGAGTGGCAAGTTATTATTCCACTTCCATCTACTCTGTCCTCACTGAGGGCTGCTGTGAGCCACATGCCCCTGGCATCCTCACAACCACTCACACTGTTCCCGCTGTGGCTTTGGCCTCATTATGAAGTTTGGCTTAAAGAAACCTAATACCACCAGAGGGCTAAGTCAGTCATGTTTGTATATGATCAGATTTTCAGACGCACAAAGCACAAGACTGTACAAAAACGTGTTTCATGTGCCAACCTATTTTAGAATCTGGTGTTGACCGAATCGCTCCAAGAGCAAATTTGAAGAATTTTCGTTAGGCATTTGCTCTGAAGTCAGGAAATCAGTGAGCAGGGGTTGAGTTTCCAGAGACCCGGGCCTTCTGTCCCTGAGAACCGCAGGTGAGGATGCCTAAGCTGACATCTGGATGTGAAGCTATGCCATATGGGCCAAGGAAGCTTCCTCAATGCTGAAAACCTCGGCCTCCTGGAGACCCCTTCCCTCTGGTCTCATGCCTGCCTGGTTTCCTGAGACTGTCTGCCAATTCTAAGACTTGTCAACAGTTCAGAGACGACCTCGCCACATGGTTTAAATTAAAGAACAAATCTTTATAGGAAACAAGACCTTGTATTTATTCGAAAGTAACAAGAAGACCCTGAGTAAGTCTCTGAATACAGTAACTGCTTAGAAAGGCAGACGTGATAATGTCTAGCAAGTGCTTCTGAGCTGGGCCATCTTTGGCCACTCATTTCCTCTGGTAGTAGGAATGCTTGTCATTCACATTTCTTTATTGATTGAGGAATCCAGGAAATCAGATTCTGAAAAAGCATGATGTTGAGAAGATGTGGACCCAGCAAACATTTAAGCATTACAAAAGATCAGGCCTGCTTTGCTGTAGCAGGAGGCTAAAATTTCCCTCTGCCTCTTTCATTTTTGAAAATACACATGAAATCTCCCTTAGAGAAAATCACCCACAGCTGGACTAGCCCTTTCTCTATTTAGGATAGCTTTAATAGAAAGCTGAACATATATTGTTCAAAATGATGTGCACATGGGGCACAGCCCCCCTCCCCCCCCCCCCCCCCCCGCATAGACCGTCGGGACAGTAGTCACACTGTTTTTGACATTGCTCAAAACCTTTCAGTCAAGCAGCTAAAGTGCCTTCAGAGCCTGTGACATGCTCCCAGGTGGGATGGGGTGAGTCCAGGTAAAGCATTGTGCGGAGTGCCTAATTTGATAGAGCCAGTAAAGGTCTGTTGGAGACACCCTATGACTCAACAAAATGGTGTTACTTTTGGTCAAAAACTAAGTGTAGTTTTAAAGGCTTTCTGGTTTATTTTTCTTAATGTGAGTCATGAAACTGGTTCTGAAAGCAAATTCCAAAAGGAAATTTTAGAAAAAAATTTTTTTTTCGGTGATGTGACTACATTAGCATAGGTGTTCAGCCTTTCAAGATTTCAACAGGAAAATGCTCATCTGAATTTACAAATTACAGTGCACTGGTGTAAAACTAGTTCTTATCTAGTAACATCATCCTTGTTAGTGCAAGACAACTTAAGACGGAGATTGGTAGTTATTTTTCAAATGTTAGATGAGCTTGATGACTTTGCAGGCAGAAGAGTGAGTCATTCCCTAGCAACCAAACCCATGTGTTCAATCGTGAGGGCTTTGCACAATGCAGTGGTGATAAAATCATCCTTTTCCTTTTTTAATCCTTTGATTACCACATTGCTCACACATACATATATCAGATTCTTTTTGGAGAACTTTTCAAAGGTTTATAGAGCAGCTTTTCATTCGGACTCTAGAAGCAATGGGATTTGGAAAGAAACAAAGTCTTATAAAATCACTGTTTAAAACTGAGACACATAAAGGGGAGGGAATTCTGGGCCAGTATGGCATACATTGAGTAGCAAATCCCCCTTGATGTTTGAGGAGCAGTGGCCCTAAAACACAGGCAACAGGAATAATGAAAACATGGAGCTGGGCTCTCACGGGATTGGGCCCAGGACTCGGCCCCACCATGACCTCAGGAAGGGTCAGCAGCCAGGCGTCATTCTTGGAAGAAGGACCAACTCCCTTCCCTTCCAATGGCTGCTGTGGCAGCTGGTGTGGAAGGTTTCACTTTCGGTTTTGTGGAAGCCTTCCTCAGGATCCCTGCAGCATCCCATCCTGCTCTGCTTGGGTGGAGAGTTGGAAGCCCAACACAGGCCGGCTTCTCTGGCCTAATGATCATAGTTCCTCTCTGCAGGTGTCGTGGGTTTGTGTGATCACACTTCTTCACATTAGGCAGGGTCCACTTCAGCACAGTGGTCCAGCACAGGCCTGCTCACCTGCGCTTCCCCACCTCCCGCCTCACAGAAGCAAACCCAGAAAATAGCTTGGCCACAAATTGCAGTTTGTTCAGTCATGTTCTTGCGTCTTAGCAAGGACGCATGCTGTGCAGGCAGGGTGTGGCTACTACCTCACAGAAACCTGGGAGTGGGGGGGAGCAGAGGTCACTGAAAGAGCAACCCTAAATCTGGGTTCTTTGTCTTTTCTTGCCTTTCTCCTTCCCTTTTCCTCTATCATTCATGTTTCCAGTCATCCATCTATCATCATCCATCCAATTATCAATTTATTTTCTCTCATTTATCATCCACCCCCACACAAACCCATCTTTCTACCCGCTGTGATCTATTTAATGTTCTGTTGAAATAAGACCCCTGGGATCATGGAGAAAGTGGTTCTGAATTTGGTCCTGGAGCAGCAGGGAGGTTTGTCCTCTTCTGCTTAGGAGTTGACATTCCCGGACACGACAGAAATAGCCTTCTGATAGCAGCTCCCTTTCCAGAGGGCTGAGTGGATCCAGTCGCACTCCAGCTTATCACACTTGCCCTCTGGTGACAGCCAGCCTCACCAGTGGTGTACTTTAAATGGAATTGGCTAAAAATGTACACCCTGCAAAGTCTTCAGGAAGAAGGGAGATATGAACAAAAAGATGAAAGTGATCCTTAAAGTGAGACTGAAGTGAATAAGAAGCTCCATGGTGTCCTCCCCCAGGCTGTGAGCAGGCCTGTCCCAGCCTGTTCTGAGGGCTGGGGAGCCTGCAGGTCTGGCGTAGAGAGACACTTGCTGGCACTAAAACCACCCTCCTCTCACCTTGTATTTCATTCTCTACGATTCTCACTTTATTTGTAAGATAACAGAAACTAGGTCATACGCACATACATGTCTATGTTTATATTCCCCTATGTTATATACCCATGCATAAATAATATATCAATATGTAGATATCAATAATATGTTGGTATATTAATATGTGTATCTTAAAAAAATATGAGAATTTTACATTTATAAATATATGAATGAATCACCCATAATGGTACCTACATTATTGGTGATGAATAATGTATACAGGGTGCCATACTCAATGGACCATTTTATTTGTTAGACCTCTATTCCTTTTTTTCCATCTTGACTTGCACTAGTAGAGGATATGAGTCTAAAGAATAATCTGTTACATTAAATGTCTCTACATATTTAATGCCCACTCCTTTTTAAGGTTAAATGCCCTGGAAAGTGAATCAGGAAGATAAAGATGCAATGAACGTTTCTGCATTTCTTGATCTTCTCCCCCTCCCCCCATGGAGAAAATGGGAGATGTTTTGATTTGGTCATCTAAGCAAAAATGTACCTAGATCCAATTTCATCTAAAGTTTGCCCTTAGTAAATGTCACTAACTGGAAGGAAAGACAACGGAATTTCAAGGGTAACTTTCAGCTTTGCTTGAAAGAAACAAGAACCAACCCAGCTATAAATATAAAGTAGTATGATTGCCTGGGCAAATGGAGGCCCCAGCAGGAGTGTTCCACGCATACAGTCTGCTCAACACAACTGCTTGGTGTACTTGTATTAAGTTACAACAGTTTCAATTTCTCATCTTAATTCCCCGTTAAGCAATAAACCTGTCTTTCTGGAAATCCCCATTATTAGAGATTAAATTTAAGAGGCTGTACCCCAAGATAAGAGTCTGAACTAGAGTTGTATTTGCACTGTCTTTTTTTTTTTTAAAGATTTATTTATTTATTCATACAGAACTGGGGTACAGGCCAGAGATGCGGAGGGTGAGAGGCTTCACCAGAGACAAGAGTGGGCAGTAGAACAGGCAGATCGACGAAGTACACTGCTGAGGGGAGCAACGGGCAGGCCAGGAGAGGTCTGCCACGCCATGTGGTCACCTCCGGGGCAGGCGGGAATCGAACTCATGCAGAAGTGGCTTTTTAATTCTTAGTACAGTGCTTTAACCCGCTGTGCCACCAGGGAGGGCCTGCACTGTGTCTTTTAACCATTGACTCAGGAACTCAGACGCATTGTCATTTGAATTTCTAAATTTCACACGACTCATGTATCAAATAGTGTGTCCACAAAGTGTAACCCAGTTTGAAAAGGTTTTCATTCTCTTCCTCCAGGGTTACCAAGGCATGGTTGACGGTGGCCGTAATATTGTGGAGGCCAACTGGGAAAGCGTCTCGAGCATTCTGCAAGTGGTAGGTGCTGTCTTCATACTGTTGCTCTGCGGGCCTCTTGAGTAAGGGTTAGTGCCACCTTTGCGACAAAGTTCCGTGGGATAGCTAGTGTGGATGGTGCTACTTGCAAAGCACTGAGCTGATCTTTAAACCAAAGTAATGTCAAGGTATACTTTGGCTTGTTGGTGTTTTATGTTTAGATGCAAATCTCCTTGCCTGTGGGGGGTTTTGCAAGTCCCTGGCATCAGTGTAACAAACCCTGGGCAAGATTCCCGCTGACAACCTCTGAGGGCTCTGGATTCAGTGGAAACACAGCACCCCTGTTCTGGCCTGAACCAGACAGCTAATTGCTTTGGTATGAGCAGAGATGAGGTAACTACCACTGGGGGCAAAAACAGTTGATTACTTTGAATTTAACAGAAACCTGCCTGAGAATGTAGGGCTTAATAAACCCCTGGAACATTGGAGCTTAATGAAGGTTCCAAATCGGATGAGGAACGAAAGCGATGGCTTCGAAAAAATGCACTTCATGAAAAGCTTTCTGCTTATAGCTTGATCTTTTGAAATGTATTTATTAATCCGTGACTCATGTTGAGTTCTTTTTAATAGAAAGAATTCAAGCTGAAACATTCCCTCTGAAGGTGCTAGTGCAACTGAGGAATAGATTGAAAAAGGAATGGGCGTTGTGTGTGTGCATAGAGTCACACACACATACCCACATCTAGATGGTGCACACACATAGTCGATGCATGTAATTTGTGTGTGTAGAACTAAACCATCCTGCTGCAATCTGTGATGACTTGTGTGGCCCCAGAGTGCATTATGCTGTGTGAACTAAGCCATACGCAGACACAGAAAGACAAACACTGCATGATCTCATGTGGAGAATCTAAAAGAGTCACACTGACAGCAACAGAATAGGTTGGGGGTTGCAGGAGCCTGGGCTGGTGGCAATGGGCAGCTGTCAGTCAAAAGTTACCAGATCTGAATCAGTTCTGAGGATCTACCATGCCGCGTGGCGACTGTAGTTAACAGTGCTGCATTGTCTCCTTGAAAAATGCTGAGAGGGTAGGTCTTACATGTCTTCACCACACGCACAAAAGGTAACTGTGATGTGAAGGCGTTAATTAACTTGAGTGTGTTAATGATTTCACAATGTATAATGTCATCATGTTATAGGCCTTAAAAAATGTTAACAATGCTATGTTATATGCTTGAAAGTTGCTTAGAGAGTAGATCTGAAAAGTTCTCACCACAAGAAGAGAAAGGTAATTATGTGCCTTGAGAGATGTATAAATTAAATTTGTGGTAGTCATTTTGTAGTATGTACATGCACCAAATGGCATTGTATACCTTCAACTTACACAATGTCATATGTCATCTATTGCTCAATAAATCTGGAGGTGGGGCGGCGTGCTCATGGGGTGTAGGCTGCGATGCTGGTTGCAGACACGTAGGCCTGCCCTTGGACCTCCTCTGCTTCACCAGGCCTGCCCAGAGGCTGCAGGAACATTTGGCAGTCATCAACACTTAGCTAGAACAGGTAGAATGGTATTTGCAAAAGCACAGGACCATGTTACCTGGATTCTAGACTGTCTAGAAAAGGACACTTCCATTCTGCTCCGTGATGTGCCCCAAGGTGGGAAGTCCACATTGGTTGAAGTGTGTGTGACAGTGTGTGTACTCGCCCACACATGCGTGTGTGTGTCTGTCTGTGAGTTGCCTGCTTCTTTGCAACTTGGTGTCCTCCTGGGACCAGTGTACGTTTTTTCTCCCAGTGTTGGTATTGATGTGTTGCTGACTTCTACTCAAAATTACACGACCCTCTAGAGTCTCTCGGTCCAATCAACGTCCAGGGAACCAGCCTGTCTTGCCCTGTGCCCTCCACTTTCCCCTGCTCCCCGGACTGTGTAGAGTGAGTGCCAACATGCCTCTCGATCCTGACTGCTGTCGTTAGCATGGGATCTTGCTCTCTGAGCTGAGTGAGCACTGGGAGCCGCGCACACAAAATTGAAGTTGTATAAGTGCATTCCTAGCCGCATAAAAGACTAGGATCCTACACTTTTCTAAGTAAAAATGGGAATCTTCCTTCTGATTTTTTTTTTTTAACCAAGTGTAAAAAATCATGACTTTGCTCTTTCAAAAGCCTGGATGATCACACTTAAGATTTAGTTTTTTAAAATAGGTAAAACAAGGGGGCATGTGGTAGACAAACATCCCTGTAGCTCTGAGTTTTGCACATTTTGCCTGCACATGTGTGGGCCTGGGACAAGTAGGTGGGCTGGCCTCATTTCTTGCAGCCACAGGGCACGCTGAGACTGGGTGCTGCGCTTGTCCCGGCTCTGGGTGCGGGCCCGCTGCCCCGTCCTGCCAGCCTCACTCAGGGCAGCTGAGGTCCTCCGCAGCCTCTGCTCTGCTGAGTTGACCCTGCCATCACCCCTGCTTCGCTGCCTTCCTGGCTACCCCGTTGGGGTCTTTTCATAGAATTTCAGGATGGAAATAAAAATGGGGAGAAGTACAGATTTGCATAGATGACCAATTTATAAAACTCAAAGAAGGGAGCCTTCAGTTTTAAAAGCCCTGTGTGTACACATCAGCATTGACTTGAACCCAGTCTGGCACTTGTTCAGTTAGGAGGAAATAAATTAAAAGAATTCCTTCTTTTTCCAGGGAGGGACCATTATTGGCAGTGCCCGGTGCAAAGCCTTCCGGACTCGAGAAGGTCGCTTGAAGGCTGCTCACAACCTGGTTCAGCAGGGCATCACCAACCTGTGTGTCATTGGCGGGGACGGAAGCCTCACGGGGGCCAACATCTTCCGGAAGGAGTGGAATGGGCTGCTGGAGGAGTTGGCCCAAGACGGTACGTTGCTGCCTGCACAGTGCTTGCCTGGGCTTCCTGCCCCTCGCGGATGTCTGCCTGTTTAACATATTTTACAGCTACCCCACCAGGTCTGAGTTTGTGCTCCAGGAATGCCAGAAGCCATAGGAAGAGTCTGTTTCTTTCACTGTACTGCTTTTTAACATGTACATGTTTTTTTATCACATGGTTAAAGCCATCACATGGCTACTTCATGTGAACCATCAGAGATGGATTTGATCTGTATGCCCTTTATACAGACAAGGGGAACCTTGGGAAACCCGTGACTCTGGGGACCCAGGACACCCCAGCCCTGGATGCCAGCTGGGATTAGCCATCATGCTGCATCTGCAGCTCCGTGGGCACCCCTCTTGAGATGTGTGTTGCCACACCACACGTGCCACCTGAGCACCCACGATCCCCCACCCCAGTGCATTGCCTCCCCCCCTTTGTTCCTCATCTTCGTTCTCCCCCTCTGGTTGCTTTAACTCTGCTCTCAGATTTCTAGTGTTTGTTTTCGATTCATTTTGTCCGTTCTTGTGTTATTTCTCTATATCCCGCATCAGTGAGATCATAAATATTTGTCTTTCTCCTTCTGATTTATTTTGCTCAGCATCATCTCTTGCCATTCCATCCATTCTGTTGAATCTGGAAGGACTTCATCTTTTGCATAGCCAAATAGTGTTCCACTGTGTAGATGCACCACACTTCCTAATCCACTCAGCTGGCATTGGGCATGCAGACTCTTTCCAAATCATGGCCGCTGTGAATAGTGGCGCAGTGCCCAGAGGAGTGCCTTTGAAATGGGTGTTTTTGCACTGTTTGGTAGGTAAGGAGATAGGTAGCTGGGTCCTATGTTAGATTTATTTATTTGTTTTTAAAGATTTATTTATTTGTGCATACAGAACTGGGGTACAGGCCAGAGTCACAGGGGCAGTGAGAGGCTTCACCAGAGACAGATTGTGGAGCAGAACAGACAGATCGATGAAGCACACTGCTGAGAGGAGCAGTGGGTGGACCAGTAGAGGTCTGCCACACCAGGCCATGTGGTCACCTCCCAGGTCAGGGATCGAGCTCATGCTGAAGTGACTTTAACTTCTTTGTGCTGTGCTTTAACCTGTTGTGCCACCAGGGAGGGATTGTTAGATCTATTTTTAATGTTTTTGAGAAACTTCCATACTGTTTCCACAGGGGCAGGCCTCAGGGCTTCTATAAATGGAAGTTGTTGGGGGCTCCAATGAGATGATAGTGGTCTGCTGCTAGGTCATCCTTCACATCTTTGAAGCCACTTAGGAAAGGGTTTCCTAGAACCCTATATATGTCACAGGTTATATCTCAGAGGTGCCATCACAAGAGTCCAATTTAATGTAAAACTTGATCCGTGGGAGTGTATTGCCTGAATATCAGCAGTTTTGTCAAGGGTGTAAACTTCAGCTGATGCAGGTGCCTGAGGGTCCGCAAGATCTGCTTCAGGAAATAAGGAACGGTGGTTAGAGGCAAGCAGCAAGATCCACACACCTTCTGGCCACCTTATTCTGGCATAAGTCAGGCTTGGGGATCATGCCGAGGAGGAATAGCCCACTGAGTTCAGGCCTGCTGCCTGTATACCCTCAATTACAACTCTCTTTAAGCAGATCTGGGAATGCTAAGTAGATGCCTGTCAACTCTCCAGCCCCCACGGATGTGGAAGAAATCAATAGGCCAGTTACACAACATTCTTAAAGGCTTAATTCTGTACTGTGACTTGCCCTTGTTCAGAGCCAAGCCTTCCTCTGAAGCCAGTGCCAGGCCAAAGTCAGACCAAAGTAGTCTTGCCCGCCAGGAGCTGTGTGCTGATCCTTCCTCCTCTCATTTTGTGATTTAGCTGTGTATCTGCAACACTGTTGTCTTCACCTTTGTCAGGTTTTTATTTCTCTAGGCGTGCATGGTTAATTGACATGCAGTTCTGAGAAAATAAAGACAGGAAGCAAGTTTAGAATTGAGAGTTTCTTGCCCATGGCCACCTGCCTGTTAGTGCCCAGCGTGGCGTCCTGGCATCAGCACTGTGCCTGCTGACAAAGCACGTGTGACCCATCTTCTCCCCACAGGCAAGATCAGCAAAGAGGAGGTAGAGAAGCACGGCTACCTCAACGTCGTGGGCATGGTGGGCTCCATCGACAATGACTTCTGTGGGACTGACATGACCATTGGCACCGACTCTGCCTTGCACAGGATTATTGAGGTTGTGGATGCCATCATGACCACTGCCCAGAGGTAGGCACCTCTGGAGGGGCAGCGATGGTGCTGGGCATGTGTGTACTGATTCTGTGAGCTTCCATAGAACCTGAGTTCAGACCTGCTGCCTGTACACCCTCAATTCCAACTCTCTTTAAGCTAAGTAGATACCTGTCAACTCTCCAGCCTCCACGGATGTGGAGGTGTGCAAGTGTGTCCCTTGAGTATTAGAAAATGGCACAAGAAGACTTTTATTTTCAAGGTATAAAGTTACCCCCTACTCTGGACTGTCAGAGAAAAATGTTCATCAGGGAGAACTTAGGAAGCAGTCCTGGGCAGAGGTCTCCTTTGGGAACCTCTGAGAGTAGAACTGTGAGTCTTGCCTTGTTAGACACACCCTTGTTAGACACTACCAGCGAGCACTGCCCGGATGCTGACCTGCAGATGTGACAAAGTTAGGTGATGCTGAAGCGTGGCATTCTGTCCACGGGGCGGACCCATGCAGGGTCATCCCTGAGTGCTCTTCCGTGGCCCCTGGGAGGGTGTAGACACTTTTCACCAAGAACAGGTGGAAGAGTAGATAGCACAGGCACCTTCCGATTTTTGCTTGAGGCGTCCAGGCTCATCCAGTTCTTAAGAACAGCGTGGCTCTTAAAACCGTGCCATGGACTGTTGGCAGCACTGAGGTTTTCCTTCCACAGAAGGACCAGCGTGTGGGGCAGTCACGAAGCTGACTGTCTAACTCCCAGCTCTCTGTCTCCTGCACTAGCTGGGGGCGTCTCCAGCCTGTGTTTCTTGGCAGCAGGATGACTAGCTAAGTAGAGCTATTTTCTTGGAAAGAACTTAGAAAATTGCCCTAGAAGTGTAGATCTGTCTGGGTGCAGGCAAATGGATGCACAGAGCATTACCAGGAAGCGGGCTTGCTGCCAAGCCCCTTATCACAGAAATTGGCATGCTGCTGGGATGGCATTTGTTGGGGGAGGGGCCGGGAGTGGGACAGGATGGCAGAGTTAGGGACCTGCCATGCTTGGTGTGCAGCTCGCTGTCTGCCTTGGCTGCAAAAACACTTTTCTCCTCCTTTTCTGTGCTGTTCCAGTAGTGGTGAATGGATGTTTCCTTTGTCTTCTTTTCCAGCCACCAGAGGACATTTGTTCTCGAGGTCATGGGGAGACACTGTGGGTACGTACACGGGGGTGCAAATTCAGTGGGAGCAACCCCTATTGCAACATTCTCCCAAGAGCCCTGGACTCCCATCGAGTGCTTCCTGGGAGGGCTCCTGTGTTGGTGACCCAAGCCTTACGGGATACTGTTTTCTCTAAATAGGTACCTCGCCCTGGTGAGTGCCTTGGCTTGCGGGGCAGACTGGGTGTTCCTTCCAGAGTCACCCCCAGAAGAAGGCTGGGAGGAGCACATGTGCGTCAAGCTCTCAGAGGTAACTCACACGCTGTCTCCCTCCATGGCCGTGAGTCACTTGTACTTCTCAGACCAGGATTTGCAGCAGCCTCTGGCATTAGCAACTTGGCAGTTTTCAATAGGTGAACACTTTCCAATTCTTAAGTGAGTTCAAGCTCACCATGGGATCTGCCTGTACCGGCTAGTCACGTATCCATGTATGTTGCAAAGAATAATGCAACTGAAAAACAGCTATAACTGTTCTTCATGTGGAGGAGGAGCTAAAGCTTTAGAGTAAGGACTTTCCCCGAGATCATGGCAATGAAAGGAAAGATTGGGGTCGGGGAGATAAGCTGCTTCATGCCCGATCCCCACTCACTGAGCATGAACAGACCTGCATTTTGACTCCAACCTGAGTCCCCCACATGCTGTGACATCTCCTGTGGCTGTGCCCCCTTCCACTGTCCTTACTGCCAGGTTTCTGTGCTGAACACCGAGCCAGGCCTCCCACTGCCATGCGTCTGTGCATGTTGCATTTCACACTGTGATGATTAACATCAAGTTTCCCTTCCTGAAGGCTTCTATAATGAAGGCATGTGAGTTTGCACATAAAACCAGCTTCTGCCTTTCAGGGCAGAAATCCCAAAGTATGGTCCATTTCCCTCCCCTTACTTTTACAACTGTCTCCTCACTCTGAGGTAAATAATGTAAGGGAGCAGTGTGAGCTGGTCATTCAGCAAGCACCGCCCCTCATGGCACAAGGCCCTGAGCACAGGAAGACACCGCCCTCCCCTTCAGGGTGACAGAGTTGGAGAAAGGAATCCAACAGTGTGCTTTGTTGACCTAAAAACTGATGAAAGGAGCTCTCTCATACCTGCATCTCTGCTGAGAAGCATCCTGCATCTTTGGAGGGTGGCGCCCTTAGATGTGCATCACCAGCAAAGGGGGGCTGTTCAGTAGGAACGTTACCATTAAAGGCCTAAGTAAGTGCATCGTTTCCCGTCTCTGATACGGGGACATGAGCGACATTCTCCATCCACCAGCTGGTGTGGGTGAGGCCAGGTTGGTTGTGTGAGGGGAGGGTGGTGTTGTTTTTAGACTTACTTCTGTGTGGCCTGTGGACATCCAGGTAAATTACCCCCAGGAGACTGTGACTTCCCCCCTGCTCAGCCATATTTCCACCTCCCTGCCAGTCCCTGGCCTGGCCCGGGGCAATGCTATGGCAGGCCAAGGGTCATGGCACTTCTTAGGGATGTGGAAGCTAATCCTGACTGACAGGGAGTATGGTGGTCAGGAAGGCATGGAGGTGGGCAGTTGAGGTGGTCATTTGGTATTTAGATACTGGTTGTCATTATGTTCACAGCTATGTGCTTTTCTCTGCAAATCTTCTTGGGTTTTGAACTTAAACTGCACAGTTAGGACAACAGTAAGAATTGGTGGGGGCCTCTCCCCTCAAGTGCTGACAGATGTAGAGCAGTGATTTTAAAAGAAGTTAAATGTATAAACACTTGATATATTTTTTTTATTATTTTAAGTTTATTTTCACATCATTTTGTACATTTTTTTTTCCATCTCAATTGTAATCCCCGCGGGTTTCCCATCACCAAGTCACCCATGTGCCATCACCATAATCCCGTGCACTTCCCTCCCCACCCCCACCCTCACCCCCCGTTTTTGATCCCATTCCCCACTGCACCCCCGCAAAATGTCTCTGGTATATGGCTGTTCATTATTCTTGTTATTTTCTCGCCTGGTCCATTATACTCCTGCTATGAGTGAAACCATCCGGTATTTTTCTTTCTCTTTCTGGCTTATCTCACTAAGCATGATCTTTTCCAGCTCCATCCAAGTTGCTGCAAAAGACATGTGTTTCTCTTTTTTGGTTGCTGAGTAATATTCCATTGTATATATGTACCACATTTTTTTAATCCAGTCATCTACTTTTGGGCATTTGGGCTGCTTCCATGTTTTTCCAATTGTAAAGCAGCAATAAATATAGGGGTACAGGTATCTTTTTCAACAGTGTTTTTGAAACACTTGATATTTTTTTAATGTATAATTATTTTTAATGGTCATTAATATAGCATTGTAAGACTAATAAAATGCCTAATATATATAATTAATTTTATTGGGTATTAACATAGCTCTACAAGAATATAGACTATTATATTTAATATGTAATTAATTGGTCATTAATGCAGCACTGCAGTAAGTTTTCCAATATCTCGCTGGATAAATTGACCTAGGAAATAAGCCCCCAAGTCCCAGAGATTTGAGTGTAAAATTGAAAAGGACTGTCTGGGGCATTAGGATTCCAAGGTTAGATTTTGACTCTGCCTCTCTTCTGGACCAACACCGCAGTTCCATGCCCGGTACCCTGACCCCCTTGGCATGATGTGGGTGACATGACCTCTCTTTAATGATCCCATGAGGAGTCAGTGAATGCATTAGCAGATCCAGGTGGGGATCCAGGAGGCTTTCAGTGAACTATCTTCTCATGGAAGTAGATATAGACCATGCTGTCAGAATATTTTATGGGTAAAGTGTGGCTACTTGACAAGTCCTTTAGTTATGGACATGCCATTGCTTGCTATATTTTTTTGGTTTTCCAAATGATGCAAAAATAATCTCTCGTGCACTGATATCTTCACACTTTAGATTCCTGTCTGAAAAACTGTTTGATATATAATAATAATGAATTATCCATCCTAAAACAACATATCTGTGTGACTTCCCATGACAGACTGACTAGGGAATCAAACTATCTCTTAGTGAGCACCTCTGACAGCCCCCCGGGCTCACCCTCTCTATGGGGGAGCCTTGACTGGAGACTTAGAGGACAGCTGCACTGAGAAGGATTTTAGAGCATGACTAGATTACTGTTGTGAGCTGCAGGCTAGCAGAATGCAGGTGTGGTGGTTCCAGCCTGTGGGGGTGTTGTCTGAGCAAGACTGTGGAGAATTGCTGGCTTTCCCATTTGAGAATGTGGAGATGAAGGTTGAGGGCTTTCTAGGAGGGGACCAAGAAACTCTGCCTTCTGAGAATTGAAACCTTGTTTGCAGGGAGATACTGAGGAAACCAGCCTCTGAGCTCAGCCCCTTCTGGGGACCAAGGTGACAGGACAAATTAACCTACCACCTACTCATGGGCTTCTTGGATGGACCCCACCAGTGGCACTTCCCATGGGTTTCCCATTGCTGGGGTTCCTCCTCCCTCTACCTCTCACCCACCCAGGGTGCCTGCTGTTAGGAAGTGCTGTTTGTAAACTTGGGGCACAAATCCTACTGGCTAGGGCTAGGGGCCAGGTCACTGGAGCCCCCTTGGCGTGTTGTTTATTCAGAACAGTTTCATCATTTTGAAGGTTTTCATTTTCTGTTTTTTTTTTTTTAGAACCGTGCCCGAAAAAAAAGACTGAATATTATCATTGTGGCTGAAGGAGCGATTGATACCCAAAATAGACCCATTACCTCAGAGCACATCAAGGAGGTGAGTGTCAGTGTTCTTTGTTCCCTTGTCATCCACCTGAAAATGGGGGTACGTGGTGTGTTGGCACAGTCTGGGTTAGAACCCTGCATTGTTATGTCGTTGATCCTTTTTGTTCTTCCTGACACTTGAAAAGATTTTCATGGTGGCTCATAACGAGACTTATTTAGCTCCCAATGCTGGAGGTCTTGTACTTCCTGCCTTCCCACTGGGAACGTTCCCAAAGGCCCCATTTTCCCAGACAGATGGAGGAAGCTTGGTGGAGTGGTGTAGAAGTTTCCAGCTCTGGCTACCAGCCACTCTGGCCGGATCAGCCAAGAATGCGTTCTTGAGTAACGTAGACACTTCCCGTTCACCCGCAACCCCCGCTTGCTCTCTTGTTGCCTCACTCAGATGAGTGCAGACCTATTGGACCAGGCAGGCCAGGATGGGGAGGCCAGACCCACTGGAATTCTGGAAGAAAACCACACTCTGGAAGGAATACTAGCAAACAGCTCTGATTGAAACCACCGTTCAGGACCAAAGACATTATTAACTTGTCTTTTTAAGTTGGTTTCTCTACTGTGTGTTTAGTTACGGTCAACAAGTGAGAAAAAAAACCAAACAATTATTTATACCTACCAACTATGCATCTGAATATTCAAATATTAAGAGAGAGCTGAGAAAATTATCTGGTAGTATTTATAAGCAATTATCCATAGAGCCAAGAATTCTGTGTTGCTCCTAATTATAGTTGAACAGGAGTCATGGACTGTAAGACTCCAGAAAAGACCCTATGTGCTTAATCCCACCATCTCCGTAGTGGAGTAAACCATGGGCCAGGAAGAGAGGTCACCTTCCCCAGCCCTCTTCCGGGGGTCCATGGGGTCACAGCCTGAGGAGGACCCCTCAACTTTACTGCTGTCCTTTTTCCATCCGCCTATACAAATTTAAGGTGATTCATGGAAATGGTTACATTTTTTTTGTTTGTTTTAAATTGGGCTTTTAAAAAATACATATATAGTTTATTTTTACATTTTGTGCATTTTATCATCTCAGTTGTAATCCCCCCCGGGGGCTTCCCATCACCAAATCACCCGTGTGCCATCACCATAGTGCAGTGCATTTCCTTCCCCCCACTGTTATTGATCCCATTCCCCACTCCACCCAGGTAAAATGTCTTGGGTATGTAGCTGTTCATTATTAGTATTTTCTTGCCTAGTTGGTTATAGTCCTGCTGTGAGTGAAACCATCCAGTCATCCAGTATTGGAAATGGTTACTTTTTTTTTTTTTTAAGATTTATTTATTCATACAGAACTGGGATACAGGCCAGAGGTGCAGGGGCAGTGAGAGTATTCACCAGAGACAGAGTGGGGGGGCAGAACAAGCAGATCAACAAAGTACACTGCTGAGGGGAGCAGCAGGCGGGTCAGGAGAGGTCTGCCACGCCATGTGGTCACCTCTGGGGCAGGCAGGAATCAAACTCATGCTGAAGTGGCTTTTGATTCTTAGTGCTGCGCTTTAACCCGCTGCGCCACCAGGGAGTCCCGGAAATGGTTACATTTTTATAAAGTATTAGTCATGTTTTAAAAACAAGCTTCTCAAAGTGATTTTTTTTTAAGTCATGTTACTTATGTTTATTTTCAAGGTAGGAGAGACATAACATTTTTAACTGGTTATAGACATTATTAAAAAAAATTTTTCAGCTAGCCCTCAAACTCAACAATCTTCAGGAAGCCAGGTCTAGAAATCGCCATGTTCTAGCCCACGTGGCTCTGAGGGAAGCATAGGGCTCTCCTTAGTCCTCCGCTCGTCATCAAGCCCGGGTAGATGTGCCCCGTCCATGGCGTGTTGTGTCTGTGTTACCTGATGGAGCTATTTCTCTTCAGCTTGTGGTCAAGCAGCTAGGGTTCGACACGCGAGTGACCATACTTGGACATGTGCAGCGAGGCGGGACCCCTTCAGCCTTTGACAGGATTTTGGTAAGTGAGGATGGAAGTCAGAGGGCATTTTTTCTGGGGCAGCAAAGGAAAGGATTTGCCACAAAGACTGAGCACCCTTCAGCAGGGCTGTCTCCGCCAGCTGGCTCAGTGAGGGACTGGGACCTGCTGCCTAGAGAGTCCCTAGTCCCCTAGGTGGGGGGATGGGGACCCTCACCAAGCGAGGGATGTTGAGGACGATTGAGGCCCTTGAACAAACCTGGAAGGTGGGAAGGTGGTAATCCACGTGCAGGTTTCTAGAAACAGACTCAGGGATCTGGGTGGTTCTCCTGAGCTCAGATTCCCACTCCTTCCCCCCACAAGCCACAAGCCGATTGTGCTGACTGGTCTGTGTTGGGGGGTGGAGGAGGCGAAGGAAGTGGCTTGGCTGTCTGACCTCGTGATGTTGTCTCCAGGGCAGTCGCATGGGCGTGGAGGCTGTGGTCGCCCTTCTCCAGGCCACCCCGGAGACCCCCGCCTGCGTGGTGTCGCTAAGTGGGAACCAGGCCGTGCGCCTGCCCCTGATGGAGTGCGTGCGGATGGTGAGTGTGGGCCTCACAAGCAGGCTGCCCTCCTGTCGCTGGACAGGGAGTTAGATGGCCCTTCAGAGGCGCAGGAGCTGCCCTGTGGGCTCTGTAGCATGTGGCCATTTTTCCGTTTTCTGTTCTAAGTTAGCGCCTCTATGAGCCTATTAGTCATTTCCCTGAGAGTTAGTGGACTCTCTCAGCAAGGCATGTTTCTCCTCAGAGCATCTCAGACATTTCAGTCAGCAGGTCAAAAAAAGGTGGGGGGCAGGGGGAGCAGTGGAGAGAAAGGCCTAGTTAAGGGTTGGTGGGGGAGGTTGGTGGGAAGTTTGCCCCGGGGTACAGGGGGACATTGCTGAGTCTCTCACTTCCTGCCTCCCCAGCCCTCAGACACTCACGTCTGTGATGTGACACATGCTGCCTAACTCAGGTGACATGCTCAGCGGCGTTGCCTCATTCCAGCCTTGGCGTGTAGGCTGACAGATTGAGGAAAATTGGTTAGAATTTTCTAGTTACATTGTTAGCTGAGGCAGCAGCGGCAACTCATTAGACATTGCTATTACCTCTTATTTTCAAAGTCTGTTCAAGAATATCATTTTATTATATCTTTCCAGAGACTCTGAAGTTTATTTGATGTACATCATTTACTAAGTAATTAAAGAACTTATTGAAAGTAACCTTAGAAATATCATTTCCAGAAGCCTATGAGTGTGTGATGCTTGTGTATCTTTGTCAATGAGGTTGTGTGTGTGTTGAGTGTGTATTGAATTTGTGCTGAATTGTGCATGGAGGTGTTTCTGCGCATTCGTGTGTGTGTGTGTGTGTGTCTGTGTGTGTCTTTGTCTATGACGGTGTGTGTATTTGTGTTTGTATGTGTGAATTGTGCATGCACTCATGTGTGTGTGTTTGGGGAGGAGGCTACCTTCATTCATCTAGATGTGAGTGTGATGGGAGAGGCTTTAAAGGATCTGAACACCAAATTACGTGCTGTAATTTTTTTTTTTTTTAATTCATTTCTTAGGGTCAGTCTCTGTTTAGATAAACACAAACAGGAATGAATTGTCTTGTCCTACAAACAGCTGCATATTATGCTGTATTAGTCAGACAGTTCACAAAACCCTAGTGAACAGCTTACTAGTTGTGAGGTTGTGTCTAAGGGTCCGATGTACCTTTTTTTGTAAAGATTTATTATTTATTTATGCATACAGACCTGGGGTACAGGCCAGAGATACAGGGATGGTGAGAGGATTCACCAGAGACAGAGTGGGGAGCAGAACAGGCAGAGGTACACTGCTGAGGGGAGCAACGGGTGGATTAGGAAAAGTCTTCTACACCATGTGGATCACCTCTGGGGCTGGGATCAAACTCATGCTGAAGTGGCTTTAGCTTCTTAGTGCTGTGCTTTAACCCGCTGCACCACCAGGGAGGGCCCGATATGCTTTTTTTTAACTGCAGATGGCATTAGCAATGGGATTATGTTTTCTTACTGTGCAGATGAGGAAACTGAAGTGTAGAGAGATGAATAACTTGGCCAACATTCTCAAATTGAAGGGGTGAGGCTGGTGCCAGCAACCTATATGGGTCCTCAAGCGTTGTCCCACAGATGCCTTCCCCACAAAGGCCATGAGTGCTTATCCGCCACCCACCACCCATACATACAGCCACAGAGGTGCTGAGCCCTGCCAACTTCTTTCTCTTTCATTTTGCTTTATAGACCCAGGATGTACAAAAGGCGATGGATGAGAGGAGATTTAAGGATGCTGTGCAGCTCCGAGGAAGGTGAGAGTTTTGGAGGCATCTCTGTTCTGATGAGAGCCTGTGTTCCTTGCTCTGGCCATCTAGAATGTGCTTAGAAGTTGCACTTGCTCAGTCTCAATACAAAAAGCAGTTTCTGCAGCTTGAAGGCCTACGTGGCTATTTAGAAATTATTTGGGGCAGGGTGGAGGTTGCTCAGCATGTAAGAGATAAGATAGAAAACTGTAGAATCCAGCGTGTAGAACAAAAAACCTAAGGAATCCTAGTCACAGAGCTGCTGCTGCTGCTGCAAGTGGAGCACGTGGGGCCCCTCCCAGGGCTTGCCACACAGGGGCACCTGCGTAAGAATATCTGCTCCACACGGTTCTGCCCCTTCTCCAAGACAGTCCCCCTGTGCTATCTCAACTGTCTCCTTTCCTTTTAGGAGCTTTGAGGGCAATCTGAAAACCTACAAGCGACTTGCCATCAAGTTGCCAGATTCTCAGATCCCAAAGGTAGGAGATGGCTGCACGTAGCTCTCAGTCCTCGCCCTCCGCTGTCCCCTTGCAGTCCTTTCCTGCCCGGGAAGCTGCGCCCTTCCCCTCTCCCCCCAGTTCCCTGCCTGGCCCATGCAAATACAAGCTGGAACACACCCAGTGATGGGGGTTCATGTCTTTTTCCATTTGCAGAGCAACTGTAACGTTGCTGTCATAAATGTGGGTGCTCCCGCCGCCGGGATGAACGCAGCGGTGCGCTCGGCAGTGCGCATGGGCATTGCGGATGGACACAAGATGTTCGCCGTCTATGATGGCTTCGAGGGCTTTGCCAAAGGTCAGGTGAGTCCCTGAGGAGGTTCCAGGAGGAGGAACGTAGCGGAGGAGAACGACGTGGGGGAGTGGAGGCCCATAGCTTCCTGGTTTTAGAATCTACTGTTCTCCCATGGGGTGAACAATGATTGTTCTTTAATGCGCAACTTCTACTCTGGAATCCTGTCCTAATGCTTATTCTAGACCCGCCGGTTGAGCTCAGAATGGTTCAAGGGTTCTCAAGGATAGTAGGTACCTCTGGGGTCCAGTGGATACCAGGAAGTCAGGTGGGAGGGGGACAGGTGCTGAAATGCTGGTGGTGTGAGCACCCAGGTGCCGTAGGTGGCAGTAGGTGGCTTGTGCAATGGCAGCACACACTGCAGCGCTCACCTGGATAAAAACCTTCAAAGAAAGATCTAACACTATGGGGGCAGGGGGTTGGTATGTATACTTACTGCCCCGGGGGGTTTCTGTGTGCTCCTGCTCCCACAATTTTTCACCCATTTAAATCTCCTAATCTATCTGTGCTATTATCTTTGGTTATGAGAAAACTGGGGTTTAAGAACATTAACATGAGAGAGATCATATGATTTAGGTTCTCAGACTTTATGGAGAGGCTACAAACTCTACACTTTAAATCAAGTGCATCAAGATGGAAGGGGGTCCATTGCATTTTTTTTACCTGATTACTCACCAGCCATTTGCTGAACTTTAAGACTGTGGAATCAAGTTAGTGAAAACAGACAAGCTCCTGGCCTCTGTGGAGTGTACGTCTTAGAGAGGGGTGAGTGAGAGCAGATGGGGTGACGTGGACATTGGTCCTTGATGTGACCGGTGTTAAGGAGAGCTGCCGAGGCGGGCTTGTGTGCTGTTGGGAAGGCGTGCTCTGACTCAGCATGGGAGTGCACCATGGCTGTGCACATACGGGAGAGGTCGGTCCGGGGCTGAGAGGAGAGCTGTGCAAAGGCCCTGAGGTAGAGTGTCCCACTGCGAGCCCATATGACCAAGCAGAGGATGAGAGGAGAAGAATGGGGATTCTGGATGAGGAGATAAGAGCTGGATCCTCTCTAGGTACTCGTAAGGGGTCAGCTTTATTCTGAGGGTGTCGTAAAAGCTATAGGTTTTTTTATTTCCCAGTGGTAGAATTTGGCCAACTAAAGCATCCACCTGGACTGGTTGGGTGGTTTAGTTGATGGGAAATGAGAGCCAGGCCCTTCCATGGGCAGGATGCCCTGTCTGGGTGCTCAATTCATTGATCAGCTTCAGAATTGTTCCACCTCTTCACCTGCTCAACCCTGGGATGGAGGCAGTCACAAGGCCTCAGCAGTCCTTACAGAAAAGGAGATAAGCCTGTCAAGGGTGCAGGCACCTGAGCTGTTTCTAGAACTCTCAGACCCTTTCCTCTCTCACTGTAGCTGTTTCATTCTGTGTTTGCACTTAGATCAAAGAGATCGGCTGGTCAGATGTCGGAGGCTGGACTGGCCAAGGAGGCTCCATCCTTGGGACAAAGCGGTAATTTTCCATCTTGCTCCTAATCTGCTACTAGGAGGAATAAGCCCTGCTCCCAAGGAGAGTACCCGGTGGACAGCCTGTGCTTTCAGTTTCCAGGAAGGGAATTCTGCTGGGTCTGTCCCGCCCACCCCAGGGAGTCTGGGTTGTGCTTTAGGTAATGCATGAGACACGACCATTGGGAAGAGACAATCAGAGAACTTGGAGAGGATCCTCTCCCCGGTCCCTCGTTGCCGTTGGTCAGAAGAGCCACCAGGTGGACACAGTGCTCTTGTTTGAGGTGATACAGTTCACTGGGCACTGGGATGTGCTACCAGACCAGAATCAGGTTGGCGGTGACTCCATGGCTGGGGACAGCAGACATGAACACAGAAGTGCTGGAGCCCAGATCCTATGGCAGAGACGCCCCCTGAGTGACTCCAAACAAAAATGTTTCTAAGTTACAGCACACTTCTGTTTCCGGTAGGACTCAGGACCTGGGCATTCTAATGAATTGCTGTTATCTAATACTAAGCCAATCCTTTCGAACTCAGGGTACAAGTGTGAACACCCGTCACAACTGCACATCTCATTTTCTAGGGGAGCAAAGTGATATCTGGGTCTAATAGTGTTGGCTTCCTCATCCATGTCCTCTTTTTGCCCCAAGGAACTTGGCCACCTCTGTTCTATTGAAACTTAGGTGCCCCTGGGTGTAGCAACCCCTGGCCTCCTGTGTTCTGGACAAAGCTCTACATAGAAGTAGGGAACCTGTTGACTTGCCTCCTGGGCCTCTTCAGACTGTGCCACCCCCCCATCCCCACCCCCAGAGTGGTTTGCTTTCTGAACAGACCTGGGCATACTCTGGGTGCTCTGACGGGCGACATGCTAGGTCAGTCAGCTTTGCCTCAGACAGGGGGGCCTGTGTGCACACTTACTGCACCAGCTAATCCCAGTTTTGGGCGTTTCACATTAGTTTCTCAGAAATCTACCAGACCGCTCGGGATTCTCTATTTTCCCTAGTTAGCTTAAGAGTAGGATGGGGCTGGGAACTAAGGGGACGCGGGGTATGGCTCTTTGGCCCCTGCATGGCCATTGTCATTGCCTGATTCTGTGGGTTGGCCACGCTTGAGCAGGGGAATAAACAGAGAAGACTGGCAGTTGGGAGGGGGTGTGACTCAGGACCTGAGGTGGGACATGTGTGACTTGAGAACTGGAAGGTTTGGACAGTTATTGTTGGGAACATTCTTGGTCTTTCTGTTGAGGCCGTAGAGTTAGCTTTCTAATGAGCAGTAGCGTTCCAGCCACTGGATGGTTGCAAAGTGTCTCTGAAAATGTACCGAGACTCACTGTGTGGGATTCTCCAGTATGCCACTGTGTTGGCCCCAGGCCCCAGGAGAAGGGAGGTAGATGGTTCCGGTGCTGCTGGGTCGGACAATGGGCAGGAGTTGAATGGGTCTTGTTGGGGTGCTGGGGGGTGACCCTGTCCCTTGCGTTTCAGTACACTGCCTGGAAAGTATCTGGAGGCGATCGCAGCACAGATCCGCACCCACAACATCAATGCGCTCTTGATCATCGGAGGATTTGAGGTTTGTTGTCTCTGTCCCCCACTAGCTCTTGGTGCGGCGGGTCTGAGCGGCGCCTCCGGCCAGCTGCAGGCCGGCATGGTGGTCCTGCTACTCTTCACTGAAGGCAGTCATAGTGCCCCACGTCCGACCGCCACTGGACGGTCGTGATGCAGACAACGGCACGGTCCAGACGAGGTGGGAGCCCACCAGGCACTAGGGAAGTGGCTCGGCCCGGCAGGGGGAGCTTGGCACCTGCTGACGCCCACCATCAGTGAGTTCTGGCTTTGGAATCGAAGCCCTTTGGTGATTCAGAGAGGAAAGTAGTTTTATGGGCAATTTGTTTTATGGGCAGTTTATTTTTTTTTAAAGCACATACCAGGACTGCTGGTCTTAATTTTGTCTACTCTGCCAAGATCAGTGCCAATATTACCTTTCAGTTCATGTAAAAACTGTATTAGGGCCTCACCCTAATCCAACTCTCACCCGGGAGAAACATGGTCTGGCTTCTACATGATGATGTCCGTGCTGCCCTCCGTGCCTGATTTTTTAGTGGCCCATCAACATCCCCCTCTCTTTCTGCTCCCCTTCTCTTCCCCACAACTGCACACACTTACCTGCAGGCCTACCTGGGATTGCTAGAGCTATCAGCTGCCCGGGAGCAACACAGGGAGCTCTGTGTGCCCATGGTCATGGTCCCCGCCACCGTCTCCAACAACGTGCCGGGCTCTGATTTCAGCATCGGTGCAGACACGGCCCTGAACACCATCACCGACGTAAGTCCATGTGGTCAGCAAAGCAGGTGCCGCACTCACTAACCCAGCGGGCACCTGGCCCGCTTCTTTCTTTACCAGTACGCCAGAAACCTCAGTGAGGTCTGGGTTTGTTTTATCTTCAGAAAGGTAGGAAAAGACCTTTGCATCTCTGACCCACTCCCCAAGATTTTCACCACCTCCTTCCTGCACGCTGCACGTGGCCGGAACACCAGGCCGTGGAGTTACCGGGACGCCTGCAGGTCGTGTGAGGCAGGAGCTCACCATTTTCTTGTGATTTGGATAATCATGAAAGTGGTTTTTTTTCACCTTTGGACAAGCCAAATTTATGTCAAGCCTGTACACCTCATTGTGATAAATCCTGGGTGCAGTAGCTCCTACTGGAGCGTTTAAGTGTAGAACTTGAGCTAAACGCTTTATTTTTCATTCCTTAGCCTGCATCCACCATGGAAGTTGTGAAACTTTTGATTGTGGCCACCAGTTTCCTTCTCCCCTTGTAACTGGTGATGTTTGTATGGATGCTATTTCAGCTTTTTTTTTTTAATCTGAAAGGCATAACAAAACAGAAATAATGTCTTTATAATCATATTTGTACATCATACCTGAGCAATCACATGGGAGTTGAGGATTGCTTTCTTTCTTTTTTCAATTCAGTGATTAAATTTTTTCCATCCATCCCCAAGTTGTATTTTCCTTGTGAGCCTGAGTTTTCTTGAATGTTTTTCTGAGATTTTTTTCCTTCCACCCATGGCATGCCATTTGTTTCTAGTACTGGTAAATAAAGAAATGCTTTAAAAATTTTTAAAAGAATGGTAAGCAACGCTTAGCACTTGGTTTTCTCACTTTTCTGCACTTCTTAAACGTTCTGCAATTTCTTTACTAAAAAGCCCCACCTGTGTCGCCTGTGTCCCGCTGGAGCGTCCTCATTGCCATCACCTGTCCCGCCTGCGCTGTGCTGGTGACTGTGTCCTACTTGCGCTGCTGTTGAGTCATTCAGCTCCTGGTCTTCATTCTGTAAGGTCCCTGTCTGTCGCGAAATGAGCTTCGCTTGTTTCATTGCTCGTCACACTGCCTCAGCTGAATTTTGAACATGCTTTTGCTGAGCTTGCAGTGGAAGCAACGGGAGGCTCATTTTTCCTAATTGCTACTTAATTAGCGCCAGTCTTGGGGGTGAGGGGGGGCTGTGACAAGTTCCATTTGCAGGTCCTGACTGAGGTCGGTGTTCGTCTCCCTGCCACAATTCACTTGCACTCCCAGCACAAAGACACGACGCCCACTCTCAAATTCCAGGCTCCACAATGGAATTGTTTTCCAGATTACAAAGATATAATTCATGCGTATTGTTACATCTGAAAGCCAAAGTATTTGAACACCAAAATATGTAGGGAAGGAACTTCCAATTATCCATCCTTGTTTCCTTAGAGGGATTTTGAGATCTCTTACTTATCTTGAATTCAGTTTCCATTGCGTTTCTCAGAGCCAGGATAACCAGTGATAACTTAGGTTGCGCTGGTGCGGGTGCCAGGCCTGCTGACCCGTGTAGGTGTGTGATGTAGCTGCCCAGAGGCTCAGAGACAAAGTTCTGGCTCTGGTCTGAGGTTGGGATAAGCGGGCAGTTGCTCAGTAGCAGAAATCAGCACAGAGGACTGCCGGCAGCCTGGGCGTGGTGGCTGCAGGCCTCTCCCAGCTACAGCAAAGTTGAGTCCTTTGAGGGAGGTCTGGGTTTGGGGTGGGTAATGGCCATGAAAGGGGAGGAGATGGCTCTGTCAGCAGGAAATGTGCAGGCAGGGAGGAGGCTGAGGACAGAGCCGGTAGCTGGGTTCTTTCCTGCTGCTACCTGGGACCCAGGGAATGTTGGGCTGAAGAGCAGAACGAGGTGCGCTCCGGTCCCTCACCTTACCTTCCCAGGGTGGCCTGCTCTTCCAAGCGTGGCTGTCACACAGCTCTGTCTGTCTCAGAGCTGCCTGCTTGGCTGGGAAGCCCCCAGTGCCACCCAGCATCTCCAGTGCCACCCACTCCTGCTCAGACTCTGTGCTTCTCACTGAGTAGCAATTTTGTGCTCAGGGACATCTGCCATTTCTGAGGACAATTCTGGGGGTCAGAGCTAGGTGAAGGGGTGACACTGGCATCCGTGGGAGGCCATGGTGCTGCTGGAGGCCACGCTGATAGGCTGGCCCCCACCAGAGGTGCCCCCCCCCCCAGAAGGTCAGCAGTGCTGAAAGGGACAAGCCCAGCACAAGTCTCTCACCTGCTCTTTGGTGTTTAATCATTGTTCTGGAAAGTCGCTTCTCATTGCCACCATCAGTGCTTGGCTGGTAGGGCCTCGCTGGATACCAGTGCCAGTGTGAGCTCCTATTCGGAGGGAACAGCACAAAAGCAATCCCTCAGAATGGGTCTAGAAAACACTCACACTGGCTGTGGGCCTTTCATGTGGCAGGTGTTTGCAGGTGTTTATCCCTCAGAATGGCCCGCGTCTACCCAAAACTCAGCTAACACGAGCTGGGCCCTGTGCGGCCCTCGACGCTGAGAAGGTAGCAGCAGCCACAGTCCCAGAGAGATGATCCTAGAGACCGGGGGACCATGATTATTTCCTTAAAACCTCTCTTCTTAGCGTGGACAACTCCGAATAGCCATGGGGGCTGAGTGGGGCTGTGACATCTCGCCTCAGAGCCCCAGCCGGTGCGGCCCCGGGATCTGGGCAAGAGCTTGTCTCCAAGGCAGGGGCCTCCGGGTGGCTCCTCTGTGGTTGAGGCAGAGGCCTCCGGGTGTGCTTCTCTGGAGCGGGGTCTGTGGACACTGGAGCAGGGCTTGGGGGGTGGAGAGGCTGATGAGTCTGGGGGGTGGGAAGAATTGCCCACCTCATCTCATCCCTAACAGAGCACTAACTAACCTAAGGGCCCACGCTCCACCATCCTTGGGCCATAGCCGCCCTAGGACATGTTTGGGTGCTAAGATGGAATGGAGGACATGCCTCCCTGAGAAGCCTCGGTGCCACCTGCTTCGGAACTTACAGTCAGGCAGCCAGATGGAGAATAGTTACTGCAGGGGAATAAAATAAAGACCAGACATGGCCGCCAAGACCCACCCCCTGCTGCTTGGAGCGCTGTGGGTTTAGGGATGGTGGATGTGGGCCTGTGTCCACTGTTTTACTAACACCCGGAGCAGTTCATGCAAAACCCGTCCCTGTGCTTAACAACAGCTCACTTATTTGACATCACAGTTACAGTTTGACCTTGGATTCCAGCAAACTACTCAGCAGTACTGTCTGCTGCTTCCCTGCAAAGGAGGCTTGGCAGGGACAAGGTCCCTCCTTTCACAGCGGGTAGGCACCCAGCTGGGGGCCCAAGTGCTCTAAGTGCATGTCTGCTGTGGGGGACTGTGGGGTGGCCCAAATTAGGGATGTGGGGCCATTGCATAGTTTTGCAGCAGGGTCGTGCACCCCACCTACTGCAGAAAGTCACAAGATTAAATTGGTATGTAAGCCACCCCCGGTCTACGGCTTTGCTCACCTGCTCCGAGATGCCAAAGAAGAACCACTGTTCTCTACCACTAACACCCTGTGCCCTGCTTTGCTGCCTTCATGCTTGTGGCCCCTCCACGCTGGGCCCTGAGCCCTCCTTCCAATCCCTAGGCACTTTTGGAAACCCCTGGCGCCCCGGTTTCTGCATCACTGGTATTTCCTCTCACTGACTGGGGAGACAGCTCACTAATGCCCCCTGGCAGTGGTGTCCTCCCTGATACTTGGTCAAGCTGAAGCCCCCGCCTGGTGGCGGGCAGGAGGGCCGACGCTGCACTAACTGCCCGCACTGCCGCTGCAGGGCTATGAGGCTGCGATTATGATGGCTGGTGCCCGTAGCAGCCACCAGGAATTCTGCTTCCCTGTGTGTGTCCTGCCTGCCACCTTGAGCAACAACATCCCAGGCACAGAGATAAGCCTGGGCTCTGATACCAGCCTGAATGCGGTAGTCGAGGTAAGCGCAGTGACTCATTTTATTTGCTCCCACATTTTATTTCTCTTCCATAAGGAGACTGCCAGACAGGGGAAACCTATTTCAGTCTGTCAGGATAAGTAAGCCATATTTATCATTTACCCTTTTCCCCCTGACTAGCTGGCATTGCTATCACACTTGGCAGGCTAAGGGTGAGATGCCCTAGCTTCTCCATCCTAGGGAGAATCGACCTTGGCAAAGCTCCGCTATTCTCTCAGTCCTCTGGGTGGAATTCCCACCTTCCTGCTTCTTGCACAGAAGGCCTGAGGTTTCAGGTGCACTAGTGGGTCACTTCTTGTGCCCAAGTGGCACAGCCAGACATGCGGCAGCTAGAAGAGACCCCAGCACAGCACCTGGGGGCATGTAGCCGAAGCACAGGGGCAGTGGCTAGGTGGGGTGCCAGGACAGCAGACCCCATGCTTGAGTGCCTCCTTGGTGGTGGGGGTGTGGCAGGAGTGGAGATAGATTCTCAGGAGGGTACGTCAGTGCCATACTGCCCCGCTGTGTCTAGCAGCCCACGCCCAGGGCTGTCATGTTTGGTGGCTGGAGCTGGTTGTCGCTGAGTCCCACCAGCCTGCTCCGCTCAACGCCCCGGCTTTGGGGTCACCAGGTCTGTGGTCAGGGTTGGACATGAGCACTCTGATGGCTCCTGTGTACTGTGCTGTGGGGAGAGGCAGTCCCCTATCAACAAGAGGTGGCCAAGTCCAGGCCCTGTCACCCGGAAGGTGAGCTCGGCCTCTTCACATGTGCATACCTAGGCGGGCTCCACTGTTTCCCTGCTAAGCCCTAATTCTGTTGGCGAGCCCCCTGGTTCAGCCTGGCACAGACCTTGACCAGCCTGGGCCCAGTTCATTCTCCTGTGCTGAGATACTCCGTCGGAATAGAGGAGGAAAGGTTGCCCGCTGTCCAAATTCTGTGGCGTCTTGTCTCTGACTCATAAAATGATGTGCATCTTAGGTCTGTTGCTTGTTTTCTCACAGTTTGCTGCCAAGAGGTGACTGGCCTTTTTTTCTGACTAGTGCTTTCCACGAGGTTCCTTGCCAAGTGTGGGCTGCCATGGGCCAGCACTGTATACAGTCATGTGAATGGCCGGCGATGTGTAGTGTGGCCCTCCCCCTGGGGCCCCACGGCACAGCTAGCATCCCCAAAGTGCTCCCACTGGCTCGCACCCTCCGATTGCACCTGCCCTCTGCCCTGGCTCCACCTGCACTCTGTGCCCTGTGGGTGGGGCCCTGCCACCCTGACTGGTCACTCAGTTTCTGCTGACTCTCACTCCCTGGGAATACTTGTCACAAGGAATACTTGTCACAGGAGACTAGTCTGAGGACTCAGTGGTGGAGGAGGACTGTGGCTCCAAGACTGTGGCTTCTGCTCTGAGACCACTGGTGGCTTGTTCCCTGTCATACACCATTCAAACTCCCTTTTATCTCCATACTTGATTTAAATTTTTAAAATATCAGTACAGCAGAAAGCTAGCAGTGGTGGAACTGTACACCTTTTTTAACATGTAGTGAGTGGAATGATTCCTAGAGACTTGTCTCAGAATCATCAACCAACGGAGGGTGTCAGGGTCTGGCGGGAGGGGACACTGGCAGTGATGAGGACTGGTCTGGGCAAGCAGGGGGAATCCGTGTTTCAATACTTCCTCTCACCCTAAAAGTCAGAGAACCCCTCCAAGAGCCGCCAGCCCCAGTGAGGGGTGCCGTGGGCCAGCACATGAACTCCTTAGGCTCTGTTTCTTGGCATATACAATACTAGCTGTGGACAACTGCAGATGGCCGGGGCTGTGATGAGTGGCCTCTTGTCGAGGCTACTTCTCATAACTCTGGCTGAGATGACTGTCTTCAGATGACAGGATTCAAGATGCTGGATGCACTGATATGCTGAAGAGAGGTGTTTTGTTTTAGCCCATTTAAGCCCTCAGCAAAGGCTGAGTGTCAACCCTCCCCTGCTGCTCTTGCTTACAGAACCCAGGGCCTCTGCTCAACTGTCAGGTCCACCGGGGCCCTTCATCTTTGTCGTCCTCATCAGTGCTGAGATGTAGTCCTCAAGGTGGCCTTAGGAAAGTATTTTTTACCTGCATATTCTTTTTGCATTAGTGACAATAATTCTCTGCCTTAGGGTGGCATGCTGGGGAGAGTCAGTTTGAAATAGAACCCATGATTTTGCAGCTGTGGGGGACCTGGAATGTGGTCCAAAAATGTAGCTCTGTTCTTCCTCATCCCCCACCAGAATTCCTTGAAAACACAGACTGTGTGGGGAGGTTTCAGTATTTGAATGTTGTAGACGAAATCCAGTGAAGTCAATGATGAAACCCCACGCCGGCCCCGTGTGGGTTCTCCAGATGCGTCTGGAAGAACCAATGTAAGCACCGGAGAGCTGTAACATTGATATTATTTCTTCCCATCTCAGCTTCTAGAAGCACTAAACTGCCCACCAACTAAAGCACTCACTGAATTTTGAGTCAGTCAATTTTGTGAGGGTGAGGGCCCAGCAAAATAATTACTAGTATAGTTAGGAGTGATTTTAATTAAGCTTGTGTTTGAAAACCAAAATTACCTTTTATATGTACCCCAAGGGACTGGAGTGAGTTCCCACACTGGTGGTATTACACTTTGGTGCACTTTGGTCCCTCAAAGACCCGTGATCTTGGTCGCCTGCCTCCACCCCACTGGTTTCCCTGCAGCACGTAGGGCCTCCTGTGCCCACTGGTCCAAGCCTGATGGCTGATGCCTGAGGCTGGTGCTCTGGGCACAGCTGGGGGCTGCGGGTGTGGCAGGGGTGTGAGTCCTGTCGTCATGGAATCTGCAGTCATAGTGAGGAAGATGCACCAGATCACATAATGACACACAGCTGCAGAGTTGGGCTTTGGCGGCTCTGATGAGAGGACGGGGACGCTCACGAGGCTCCTTGCAGACGCAGCCGCCCGTGCCCAGGAACTAGTTGGGTTTCCCAAGGAAATGACATGTTAGTTCCTTTGCTGGCATAGTCCCTGTCCTTATTGATCTCACAACCTGCCAGTGGGCATTTCCTGTGTCATGTGCCTCTTCCCAGGTGTCTTGTCCCTGCCTCGGAGGACACTTATATTTTATCTGTGTACACCAGATAATCCAGGATCATCTCCCCATCACCATCCTGGGTTTAACTGTCATGCAAGCAGACACTCCCGTCCAGGAATTAAGGCCTCACTGACCTGTAGGGCCACTGTGTCGGAGCCTAGAGGACAAGGCGGCAGCAGGGATGGGGTGGCAGCAGGGATGGGGAGGGCAGGCCAGGAGCTGGTGTGAAGGTGGCATTGCAATTGGTTATGGTGTTACCAGAGGGTTGCGCAAGGCCAGAGATCCACAGTGTGTTTTTCATGGAATGAGCCAGGTCAGAGACTGCAGACCTGACGGAGAGTGAGCGTGTCTAAGGAGGGCAGTGAGTGTTTTTTTTTTCTCTTCTCCCGAGCTTGTGTCCCCAGCCATGGCCTTAGGGGACCTACCATAAGTGTCTGGAAGACACTTTAAGAAGCCACCACCACTAGACCAGACTTCGTGTAGCAGTGCCAGACATACTATAACATTGAGGAACGGAGTGTGGCTGACCCAAATTGAGACTTCACAGAGGGCCTTTCAGAGGAAAATTACAAATTCCCATTGACTAAACCCACAAACCTAACATGCTGACATCTGCTGGCTGCCTTGAAGGCAGGCAAAAGCTGGTCTCCCCCGGGAGGAGTGACCAGGTCTGCAGCAGTGGGCAGCTCTCACATCACAGGGACTGATCTCACTGACCAAGGTCAGGGCCGTTCCTGCAAGGGCTCAAAGCCGGGGACACGTGATAGGACCTGCTGGGCTTGCAGGGCGCATGGGGCTTAGCTACCTGTCCTCTTCCTGCCCACCTGCCTCAAATGACCCATGTCGTCCTCTGTGGCCAGACCTGTGACCGCATCAAACAGTCGGCCAGTGGGACCAAGCGCCGTGTATTCATCATCGAGACCATGGGGGGCTACTGTGGCTACCTGGCTAACATGGGAGGCCTTGCTGCGGGAGCCGATGCCGCCTACATTTTTGAGGAGCCCTTTGATATCAGAGACCTGCAGGTAGGTGCGGGCCCTTGGGCCTCTGCTGCTGCTTCCCATCTGACTGATCGGTTGGTGGGAGGGGACGAGGGTATTGAACAGGATGCCCTTCCAATGGCCCAGCTCCCCCAGCCCAGGGAGGTGCCTATGCCGGACTCCTTCAGGGTCAGGACAGTGCGAACAGACATGCTTCAGGGTCTGTCCTCTACACGAGCCTGGGTGTTTTTGCCTATTGAGCTCTCATCCACTAAGTCAATAGCATTTCTCACAGGCAGGTCACTGATCTGGACATTGATGTCGAATGGGACCTGGTACTCGATAAACAGCTTCTGTGCACAGTCTCTTTGGCCTGTGGGACTATTCAGACTGGCCCTGGCTCCCCTTATGGGTCTGAGTTTGGGATGCCCTGCAGTGGTTGCAGCCTGCCATCCGTGCTGCCCAGGAGTGGCTAAATGCCAGCAGCTATCAGCAGCTAGAGGTGTGGGACACTAGACCCTGGGGGAACGGCTCAGCTCACACTGTTGTGGGGATATCAGTTAAAAACAGGGATCAAGCCAGCCTCCTTTTTCCTGGTGTATGCTTAAGAATAAAAACCTCCTCACTAGTATTTTGTTAAAAGTAGTTTTAGGTTCCAAGCAGAGGACTTTTCCTGCAGGCCTCTGTCCAGACACATCACAGCCTCCCACATGGTCAGTGTTCCCTACCGAAAGGTACGTCTTGCAGAATGTGGCCCAGCCTGTCCACATCCTCAGTACCCAAGTCCACAGCTGACAATAGCGTCACTCCGTGTCACCACATGTTCCTAAGGTCACCAGTGCCTTTTCTCTAAAGTGACGCAGGTTTCTCTGTACCCCCAGCTTTTGGGGCTAAGGGCTGGTGGCGAGCAGTATTAGGTTGCTCAGTCCCCCTTTGTGGACAGGAGGGAGTCGTCAGGGGTGTGGAGGGAAAGAGAACTGGCAGGTGGGGCAGCACCTGGCTGTGTTGGCAGCTAGCCTCACTTCTGTCCTGAAGGTGCTCACGGACAACTTTGGTGAAGCCAGAGTCCGTTCTGTCGGATGGGGGTGATAGCAATGAAAACGCAGCCGAAATACACAGAACCACAAATATGATTTATAAGTTGTTGTGATTTTAGCTTTACCTGTTTCTGAGCCAAATATATCAAGTAGAGATACTTAGGTTTTTTTTACTCATAAGTGATTTATTTTCACCTACAAATTTCTTTACAATATCAAATTAAATATTCTAAAAGCCTGTTAAAAGATCATGTCTGGCCAGTACTATTGCAGTAACTGGCATATAGAGGATAGTTAATAATTGTAAAGGCAGCTGAGATTTGCTTGCATGTGATTATCTTTTTGCATATTTTTCCTCTGAAAATAAGAGTATTCCTTCCCTTACAAAATTTGTGCACAAATTTGAATCAATAAAAATTTATTGGCTGAAATGCTCATTAGGCAGTTACATGAGATTGAACATAAAGGTAATGGAGAGTTATTTCCCTGAGGTAGAAAATATTGTAATGGAAAAATGATAAGGTCTGTGAAGCAGGGGATAAGCCCTAGGCCAAATACATGTACTGTGTTTTAAGAGGAAGATCTATTTATTTGAAAAGGTTGAGATCTGCTGACTAAATAAACCTACTGATAGTGCGCTCCTATGGGCCCTCCCTGGGGACACATGACTGTTATCAAAGTCGCCCCACTCCACTGTCCCACCTGGTGCGTTCTCCTCTGCCTACTGTCCCCTCCACTGAAGCATGCCCACTGCTATTTTCAGTGCTTAGGCTCCTTCAGTGCCTGGCACACAGCAGGTGCTTAGTAAAAGTGACTGGTTAACAGAAAACTCTTTTCCAGTCCAACGTGGAGCACCTGACACAGAAGATGAAGACCACCATCCAGCGGGGGCTGGTGCTCAGGTACTGGCAAACCTCTCCCCACCCTTGACCTAACTTGTCAGAGCCTATTTATGATAGCAAGTAACCATTCTCTGTCAGTATTCAGATTCTCACTCTGAATACTGAGAAAGAGTACT